ATAAATTATAAGTAATATCTTTTTATTAATTTCTATTGAAATTATAGTTTCACTTAAGATGACAAACAATATTGTGTTAATTAATCATAAACAAAATTCTGACAGTTCAAACAAAATGAATTTTTAACGACTTCAATAAGATACAAATAAATTAATTATTCCAAGTTATGTTATAGGCAATATTGGCAATCAAATTATAGATATAAATTATATCATATAATATTAAATTTCGATCAAGAAGGAAATATTTTGGCATTTAATAATTTAGTGCATATTGGATATATGAAATTGACATGCAATATTTTTAAATTAAATGCAAAAGTAAAAAATCTGATATTTATATAAAGTATTATATATTCAGATAACGGTACTGCGTTGATTCAGACTAAAATCTAATTTATTCATTGATTAAAAAAAATATTTCACTATTTGACTAAATAAAATTAAAATAAACAAAACACTATGATGCGTTGGAATTAATTATCGAAATGTAAAGAAATTTGTGTAATAAAAATATAACATTATTATTAATGTATCACGTATATTATAAGAACTTCTGCAAAGCAACAAAATATTTTTGATGGCAAAACAGCGTTTGCCGGGTCAGCTAGTATATATATATATATATATATATATATATATGCATATATATACATATATAAGTCAAATATTGAATATTTAAAACAGATGCAACAGATATGGTATTATAAACGCCTGTATATAATTCCAGAAAAATATTCTCTGACTCGCTTTGTATAAAACATGCTTTGCACTCACATTGTTAGATATCCTCTGCAGCATTGGGTCATTACTGGAACCACCTCTGGAGCATCTGCCAGAAATCTCAAGTACTCGACACAAAATCACTACTTTAGAACCACTACATAACTTTAGTCTTTTACAAGTCTATTTGACCTGTTGCAATTGTCCGAGTAAAATCTTTACACAATACACGACACAAAACTTATATTAGAGACTTTCGTGAATTTAGAATTTGATAAAAACAGATATGTGGTGGAAGGTGGAAGTACCATATATAAATTATACTATTGATAATTGCATGTATATAATTTAAGGATACATTGGCGCTGTAAATAAATTGTTTAAGTATAACCTACAAAACACACATATATAAATTATACTATTGATAATTGCATGTATATAATTAAAGGATACATTGAAGCTGTGAATAAATTGTTTAATTATAAAATTGATTCAAAATGGAGACCCTGAAAGAGATACTTATCAAACTATTCAAGGTACTTCCACAACATACCCGTTTTTTGGCTTTTAATTAACGTTTCACGATAAATTTATTATATCAAATAGTTCTACTTAATTAATTAAACGAGTTGATGCACAAATTAATTAAAACTAATCAAGGATTTAATTAAAAAGTCTTAATTAACGCGAGGACTTAATTAACGCGAAAATTTCTTTGACAATTGAGTGGCGAGTGAAGTTATCAACATGTTTCAAAATGGCTGTCACCTCTTGTACAATTTAAAGCGCGAAATTCAAATCGAAATTTAAAACATTGAGAAATTCACTTATTTGAATATATGAAGGCAATGTGTATAGTCTTTGGAAATGTGATATGAATATATACGGTAAAAAAATCAAAGTCTTTAGATATGTGATAGATAAACTTTTATTTTTGAAATATGCTCTTTACCGTATACATTCATATCACATATCCAAAGACTATACACATTACCTTAAAATCATAATAGATAAATTTATAAATTAATAATATTTGCACAAAGTTCTCATTCAGGAAACTAATTAAATAAAAAAATATTTGTTTAATTTAAATATATTTTATTAAAATATATTATGTTACCTTCAAATGTTCAAAAGTTATTTAAATTAGTAAAATTGTGAAAAAAATAAAATATGGACAGAATAACATTCAAATATGTTATGAAATAAATACAAAAATGTATTCAAATTGTTTACAAAATAATAATTAAACTTACAGCAGATATAAAAAAATATTACAATAAAACAATCATTATAACATTATTTGTTTATATTTATAAAACATACAAAAATAATTCATATTGTAAACATACTTTAAAAAATTAATTGATAGATCTTTCAACTCCATTTTTACAAATATCTTTTACATATTTCATTGCACAGCCATTTGACAAAATCCCTTATTGCATACTTTATATTTATAATTACTTTTTGTTGTGCACAACGATGTGCTTTTTCAGGATGCCTGGCCGTGCAAATGTTTTATCACATACTGAACACTTATGGGGCCGTACCCCACTGTGAACGGGCATATGAGTTTTCAAGCTACTCGCTTGTGTGAATGTCCTAGAGCATATTTCACATTTGTGAGGTCGTTCCACACTGTGAATGACTTCATGTGCTCTCAAAGTGGCCATTTGTGTGAATGCCTTATCGCATATTTCACATTTGTGAGGCCTTTCTCCAGTGTGAATAAGCACATGTCTCTTCAAAGTATTCACTCGAGCAAATGTCTTATTGCATGTTTCACATTTGTGAGGTCGTTCCCCACTGTGAATGAGTTTATGTACAATCAAGCTACTCATTTGTGTGAATGTCATATAGCATATTTCACATTTGTGAGGACGATCCCCACTGTGAATGACTTTATGTACTCTCAAGGCAGCCATTGTTCTGAATGTCTTATCGCATATTTCACATTCGTGAGGACGAACCCCACTGTGAATGAGTTTATGTGCTCTCAAATTGTCCATTGTGTGAATGCCTTATCGCATATTTCACATTTGTGAGGCCTTTCTCCAGTGTGAATAAGCACATGTCTATTCAAAGTATTCACTCGAGCAAATGTCTTATTGCATGTTTCACATTTGTGAGGTCGTTCCCCACTGTGAATGAGTTTATGTGCACTCAAGCTACTCATGTGTGTGAATGTCCTCGAGCATATTTCACATTTATAAGAACGAACCCCACTGTGAATAAGTTTATGTGCTCTCAAGACGGACAATTGTCTAAATGTCTTATTGCATATTTCACATTCGTAAGGACGCTCATTAGTGTGAATAAGCATATGCTTTTTCAAGTAACTTAGATATTCGAAACTCTTATTACATACTTTACATTTATGTGATCTCTCTGTACTCTTACTTTGTTTTTGATTATCAGATAATTTATTCAATGTTGAAGTTGTCTCTCCATTACAAACGTGTTGATCAAAATCAAATTTTACTGCAAATGCTTTATTGCAAATTGTGCACACAAAAGGCTTTTCATCTGCATGAATTTTCAGATGTATATCTAAGGCGCTTGAATCTCTAAAAGTGTCTGAACAAAATGGGCAATCATGACTATGTACCAGCATATGCTGTTCTAAATCATGCTGCCCTGTAAATGATTCATTACAAATAGTTTACATTCATAATGAGATGCTTCCTAGGATTCCTGTTTGACTTCATCTTCTCTTGTTATATCGGAATTCATGAATCTCTCCAGACATGTTTCATCATCTTCAGGCTCTTCTTTTATTTCACATTTAATGTCTTCAATAGGAATTCTGGCGGTTCGGTTTTTAACCTCCAGAATGGAATCAGATAGAAAACAGCCATTGGTTATCTGAAATTTTATTTAATATTGTAATTAGCATTAATTTGTCCAAAGAAAATGCATTTTTTATCTAAGATGATCAAACTAAACAAAAACTAATAAGTATGTAAATTTCATAACCTCAAAACGAGCATCTACTTCTGCAGAGCGTATGTAGATATGTATTAAAACACACTAAGATTTATTTAATATGTTAACTAGAACTGATTTTAGTATTAAAAATCAAGTATTAATTAGTAATTATTATAAAAAACACGTACCTACACTAATTTAACTAAACATTTGAACAGTTAAACATTCGGTACACTATAATTTTGATCGTTACAAAATAAATATAATATTTGAAGCTGTAAGTGAAAATAATGCACAAAAAATATATATACTTATTAAATTGTGTAGTTTTGTTATAATATAACAATATTCAATTAGGATATTCAATAAAATAAATAAATTATAAGAAACTGTCAGCCATTTTTATTTAAACTTGCTGTCACCTGTCAAACTTGTTATGAATCTAACTTCAGGCTTCACTTTTCGTATCGAATTAAATCTGGCAACCCTGTCAAACTTGACAGCTGACAGTTTGAATTTCGTACAAATTCCAAACGTCAAATTCTAAACAAATTCAAACAATTAAACTACCTTCTTTTACACCTGCAAAAATATTTATATATGTAATAAAACCAAAAAATAAACCTGACCTTTATTTTCTCAAGTTATGGAACTGTTGGGCTCCGGAGACATGTTACCAGACCACTTGCAAAGACGTTGGTCGCACGTCAGAAAGGTTCTGGAGCGCCCAGGGCCCTTCTGTCACCCCGAATTCGAAGCCTCGTCTGATAATCTGCAGTTTTTAATGAACTCTTGCAAAATCCTGGTGATCGGTGCTGGAGGTTTGGGCTGCGAGCTCTTGAAAGATCTAGGAATGATGGGATTTAGACATATTCATGTTATTGATATGGATACTATTGATTTGTCTAACTTGAATCGACAGTTTCTATTCAGGAGGAAAGATATCGGGTCCAGTAAGGCTGAGTGTGCTGCCAATTTTGTAAAGAACAGGTAATAAGGAATAGAGTAATAGGTAATTGATATGTTAAAGTACTTGGGTGTTTAAATATTGTAGAATACCTGGTTGTGAGGTGACACCACACTTTTGCAAAATCCAAGACTTTGATGAAGCATTTTATCGGCAATTTCACATTGTAGTTAGTGGCTTGGATTCTATAATAGCTAGACGATGGATAAACGGCATGCTGATATCTCTCCTTAAATATAATGATGATGGTAGATATATATATATATATATATATATATATATATATATATATATTTACTATTTTTTAATTATGTTTTAGGATCAGTTGATCCTAGTTCAATAATTCCATTGATTGATGGAGGTACAGAAGGCTTTAAAGGCAATGCCAGAGTTATATTACCAGGAATAACCGCTTGTATTGATTGTACGCTGGATTTATTTCCTCCACAAGTCACATATCCTTTGTGCACCATTGCAAACACACCCAGGTAATAAATATATATATATATATATATATATATATATATATATATGATTTAGTAGTTAATTTTGATGTTGAAATATATGAGTGAGTTCTTGAGGGCGATACATCAAACAAAGAAAAGCCAAAGATTTATAAAATAATCTTTATTTCCAAACGTTTCGACATTCAATTTAATGTCATCATCAGTGGATATTACGTTGGTTAGTTACATATAGAGAAGTGTACACAGCACTAGAGATTTGGCACTAACATTTATACAACTAACTTGTCAGCACTATGCATTTTTTTATATAATTTTTTTGTATGATGTAAACAGAAAAATGATAGTTTTATTGAACAATAATGTAAGTAGAATTATGTAATTTCTGCCACGACTTCTGTACTTTGCTAGTACCGAGGCATGTAAGAAGTCGTGGCAGAAATTACATAATTCTACTTACATTATTGTTCAATAAAACTATCATTTTTCTGTTTACATCATACAAAAAAATTATATAAAAAAATGCATAGTGCTGCCAAGTTAGTTGTATAAATGTTAGTGCCAATCTCTAGTGCTGTGTACACCTCTCTATATGTAACCAACCAACGTAATATCCACTGATGATGACATTAAATTGAATGTCGAAACGTTTGGAAATAAAGATTATTTTATAAATCTTTGGCTTTTCTTTGTTGATGTATCGCCCTCAAGAACTCACTCATATATATATATATATATATATATATATATATATATATATATAAATATCAAAATGAAAAAATTGAAGATTGAGTTCTAAATCTTTGCCTTTTATTTGATGTATTGCCCTTGAAGAACTTACTCATATATATAAATATATATATATATATATATATATATATATATATATATATGATAAATTATTGTATTGACTTAAATTGTAAATATTGAATTTGAATAAAGTATCTATCTATCTATCTATCTATCTATATATTTCAATTACTATTACCAGGCTGCCCGAGCACTGTATAGAGTATGTGAAAGTCCTACAATGGCCCAAAGAGAGTCCCTTCGATGGTGCTCCTTTAGACGGGGACGATCCCCAGCATTTGAGTTGGGTGCTGGAAAAAGCTACAGAGCGTGCTGTCCAATATAACATTAGTGGAATTACTTATCGATTAGTACAAGGTGTTCTTAAAAACATCATTCCTGCTGTTAATAGTACTAATGCTGTGATTGCTGCCAGCTGCTGCACAGAGGTAATAATAAATAAATAAATAAATATATATATATATATATATATATATTATATATACATATATATAATGATAATATTAATTATAATCCTTATTTTATACATGAGTTTTTAGAATAATTATATATAATTATTATAATCTTAATAAAGTTCTATTCTATATATATATATATATATATATATATATATATATATATAATAACAATTATAATCCTTATTTTATAAATGAGTTTTTAGAATAATTATATATAATTATTATAATTTTAATAAAGTTCTATTCTATATAGATATATATATATATATATATATATATATATAATAACAATTATAATCCTTATTTTATAAATGAGTTTTTAGAATAATTATATATAATTATTATAGTTTTAATAAAGTTCTATTCTATATATATATATATATATATATATATATATATATATATATATATATATATACATTATTTCTCTAGGTTTTTAAAATGGCAACAAGTTGTTACACCCACATGAACAACTACATGGTATTCAATGATACCGATGGGATTTACACATATACTTACGAAGCTGAAAGGAAAACTGACTGTTTAGCTTGTTCACAAATTCCAAAAACTATAGAAGTTTCTAATCCTGAAAATATGACTCTACAAGACTTGATTACTTTGTTGTGCGAAGGGGCTGAATATCAAATGAAGAGCCCAGGTAATAATAAACAAATAAATTAATAGACAGAAGTTCTAAAATCAATAACAAATTAGAAAGAAAAATCATTGAAACATTATTTTTAGTTGATTGCTTCATATATATATATATATATATATATATATATATGTATGTATTTATATATATATTTTTTTTGTTAGGTATTGTAGCCTCAATCGAAGGCAAAAACAAAACCTTATACATGTCAACAGTAGCAAGTATAGAAGAAAAGACTAAACAGAATCTAACAAAGTCTCTAAAAGAATTAAATCTAGAAAATGGAATGGAACTGATGGTTGCAGATGTGACGACACCAAACACAATATTACTTAAATTAAAATATAAGAATGTAATTGAAAACGATGTTGAGATGACTTGATATTTACTTAAAAATGTTATCTTACAATAATTGATAATTTATATTTAATACTTTTGGAACTTTGTATTTAATGATAATAAATTATTATAAGAATTTTTTTTGTTTTTTTTTTTTTAACAATTTGCATATTTCATTATTTAGCACAAAAATTTAAAAAAACGAGACATTTTTTGGTTTTTGTCAAATAACTAACAAATTTATATGAAAGCACCCCTTCTCAGTTTGGTAGGGTGAAACTAAATAAAATTTAAAACATTTCCTAGGGAACACTTTTATACACTCCCATATAAAAGTTTTGAATAAAGGTATATATCAATTTATACATGATTATATATGGCCTAACTGCCTTAATTTGTATGGGAATTGGATATATAAATGTATATATCGATTTATACATGATTATATATGGCCTAACTGCCTTAGTTTATATGGGAATTGGATATATAAATGTATATATTGATTTATACATGATTATATATGGCCTAACTGCCTTAGTTTGTATGGAAATTGGATATATAAATGTATATATTGATTTATACATGAATATATATGACCTAACAGCCTTAGTTTGCATGGGAATTGGATATATAAATGTATAAATCGATTTATACATGATTATATATGGCCTAACTGCCTTAATTTGTATGGGAATTGGATATATAAATGTATATATTGATTTATACATGATTATATATGGCCTAACTGCCTTAGTTTGTATGGGAATTGGATATATAAATGTATATATTGATTTATACATGAATATATATGACCTAACAGCCTTAGTTTGTATGGGAATTGGATATATAAATGTATATATTGATTTATACATGATTATATATATACTAGCTGTCCCAGTTTGTATGGGAATTGGATATATAAATGTATGTATTGATTTATACATGATTATATATATACTAGCTGTCCCAGTGTGTATGGGAATTGGATATATAAATGTTTATATTGATTTATACATAATTATATATGGATTAGCTGCCTTGGTTTCTATTACTCAAAAATTTCATATGGAACTACCCCTTTTCAGTTAGATAGGGTGAAACAAGATAAAATTTACGTTTCCTAAAGAACACTTTTATACACTCAGATATAAAAGTTTTGAATAAAACGACTTTGAATTCTATATTTCATTCTTTAGTAGCAATAAATAGAAAATTCGGGACATTTTTTTGTTCGGGTTCGGGACAAGTTTTGGCCAAATAACTCAAAAATTTCATATGGAACTACCCCTTTTCAGTTAGATAGGGTGAAACTAGATAAAATTTACTACATTTCCATTAAAACAGTTATATACACTCATAAAAGTTTTGAATAAAACGACTTTGAATTTGATATTTGATTATTTAGCAGAATTATTACAAAATTCGGAACATTTTTTTGGTTTTTGTCAAATAACTCAAAAACTTCATATGAAACTACCCCTTTTCAGTTAGATAAAATCAACTAGATAAAATTTACTATGTTTCCTTTATAACACTTTTATACACTCCGATATAAAAGTTTTGAATAAAACGACTTTGAATTCGATATTTCATTCTTAAGCAATAAATATAGAAAATTCAGGACTCTTTTTGGTAAAAAATATTTATTACTTCAATCAATTGTATAAATGTATATATGTATTAACAATCATTATATAATATCAAAATTACTATAAATCTGTACCTCACAATCTAGTGATGGAAAAGTCTCAAATTAGTATGAGCCATAACGATTCCATGCTCGTTACAAGCCTGGATAACACCTTCATCATTATTTGAACCTGATGGACTGCCGATGTAGGAAACTCCACTCTGGTAATAGAAATAGACACATTGAAATAAAATTAATAAAAACTTAATAATAGAAATAGAAATTCTACTAACTTGAGACAGCAAATGAAGTGAAAAGGAAATTGGATTGGACCCTTATTGCAAAAAGGAAGAAAGAATGCAAATGATTGACGACTTGGGAAAAAGGGAATTGAAAGTAATAGTTTGAAAATATATAATTATTATTACCAGTCTGGCTCTGTCAATGTTATCTCTGAACGGGAAGAATGCATCAGATCCCAAAGCAACACCAGACAACTGCTTCAGCCACTCTGCCTTATCAGAATCGGTTAAGAGTTTTGGAACATTTCCTGGTTCGTACATTGATTCGAATTGGGAGACTGGCATGTCTTTACCTGGATAAAAAAATATATATAATTTAAGACATTAAATTATTTAATGACAGCATTTAAGTTGTTAAATTTGTTACCTATGGTTCCATTAACAAAGTTGTCAATGGCATTTGATATTTCGGCACGTTTCACTCCTTTGCGGAATTTCATTGAAGTGACTCTTGGGTGCTGACGTAACCACCTGAAGAATAAAGACAAGTGATAACTATAGGTGTAAGTGATAAAACTAAGATATATGACTTGTCATGCAGCAACTCGTTATACCCACAAACTACTACATTGTCTATTTATCAATAAAGACTCAATTATCCCTTACCAGTTATCAGCTTTATCCCCGGCCAATCTGGTGCAATGGATCCTGGATTGCTGTCCAGCCCCAATTCCAATAACTTGTCCGTCTCTTGCATAGCACACACTGTTGCTCTGGGTGTATTTTAGGGCAATAGTTGCAACTATCAGGTCACGAATAGCACTTTCTGTCAATTTTGGACCTGAAGTCACGACGTTGGAGAACAGTGCTTTATCTATAACTGCATCATTGCGTTTCTGCTCCATTGTTAGACCGAATAGGGTCTTTCTTTCAATTTCTTGGGGCTCGTAGTTGGGATCAATCTGGGTAATAGTAATAGACACATTGTATATAATATATATATATATATATATATATACATATATATATATATATATATATATATATATACATATATCCTCTATCTACCTGAAGTACACAATAAAGTCCATTCTTCTTCTTTTTCAAAATTTCCAAAGCCTCCGGTGTATATCCAGGAGCAATAATACCATCAGAGACTTCTCTGCTGATTATTTTAGCAGTGACAGCATCACATTCGTCTGAAACTGCAACAAAATCTCCAAACGAAGACATCCTGTCAGCACCACGAGCTCGTGCATAAGCAGTTGCCAATGGTGTTAGCTCGGAGTAGATGTCGTCTACCATGCAAAGCTTTGCCTAAGGGAAAAAGACATCGGAGTGTATAAAAGCGTTCCATAGGAAATGTTGTAAATTTTATCTAGTTTCACCCTATCTAACTGAAAAGGGGTGGTTCCTAATGAAATTTTTGAGTAATAGAAACCAAGGCAGCTAGTCCATATATAATTATGTATAAATCAATATATACATTTATATATCCAATTCCCATACAAACTAAGGCAGTTAGGCCATATATAATCATGTATAAATCAATATATACATTTATATATCCAATTCCCATACAAACTAAGGCAGTTAGGCCATATATAATCATGTATAAATCAATATATACATTTATATATCCAATTCCCATACAAACTGGGACAGCTAGTATATATATAATCATGTATAAATCGATATATACATTTATATATCTAATTCCCATGCAAACTAAAACAGATAGTATATGTATAATCATGTATAAATCAATATATACATTTATATATCCCATTCCCATACAAACTAAGGCTGTTAGGCGATATATAATCATGTATATATCAATATATACATTTATATATCCAATTCCCATACAAACTAAGGCTGTTAGGTCATATATAATCATGTATAAATCAATATATACATTTATCAAAGTCGTTTTATTCAAAATTTTTATATCGGAGTGTATAAAAGTGTTTCTTAGGAAATGTTGTAAATTTTATCTAGTTTCACCCTATCTAACTGAAAAGGGGTGCTTTCATATGAAATTTCTGAGTTATTTGACAAAAACCAAAACAATGTCCCGAATTTTCTATATTTACTGCTTAAGAATGAAATATCGAATTCAAAGTCCATATATATATATATATATATATATATATATATATATATATATATATATATATATATATATATATAATAGGTTGTCAAATATCTCCCTTCCGCCTTTTTGTATTAAACCAAGAGCAAAAAAGCAGAAGGGAGATATTTATATATATATAAAGCGAGAGGTTTTTCTTCCGATGGTGAAATAATATAATAAAACTGTTTCTTGGGCATCCATCCAGTAATTAAAAAACAGTTTTAATGAAAAATGTTTTTATTTATAGAGAACATACGTTTCGGGTCTTGATTTGACCCATCTTCAGTGCTACAATTAAATAATTCAGGGGTATTGTTTAAAAGGTCTCGACGAGTAGAAAACGATTTTCTTAAAAATAACGATTATATTGTAATAAAAACTTTATAGAAAGATGATAATAGACAAGTTGTAAGTGGTATTTTGACTTAAGACAAGTTTGTAGAGGTTTTTAGTAAACAAGCTTAAAGAAGTTTTAATACAAAAAAAATTAAATTGTGTTTTTTAGCATGTGAGGTATCATCTGAAAGATATTTCTGAATAGAATCCGAATATTGAAATAAACTATGTGATTTCTCCACAAAATATACACTTTTTACGTATTTTTATTAAACGAGCTTAAAGAAGTTTTACTTCAAAAAAATTTAAAGGTGTTTTTGGCATGTTGGGTATTTAATTGTAGCACTGAAGATGGGTCAAATCAAGACCCGAAACATATGTTCTCTATAAATAAAAACATTTTTCATTAAAACTGTTTTTTAATTACTGGATGGATGCCCAAGAAACAATTTCATTATATATATATATATATATATATATATATATATATATATATATATATATATAAATATATATTTGTATGTATCTATTATTACCTGTTCTTCGCTCAGTGGTACCCCGACAGCAGCCCCAGCAGGTGAAACGTGTTTAAAACTGGTGGCAGCTGGTAAACCAAGAGCCCTTTTCAATTCTTTAACAAGTTGCCACCCATTAAGGGCATCACATAAGTTTATGAAACCAGGAGCACTGTTGAGGACTTTTAAAGGCAATTGGGGCAACGTTGTGAAGATTTGTGCTGGTTTTTGGTGAGGATTCATACCTTAAGAGGAAAAGACATATTTTAGGTATTAATTAATAATAAAATTATTACTATAAATTAATAATTTTAAATTAGAAGGGCTTAATTAAGGGCTTATATATATATATATATATATATATTTATATATTTATATATGTATTTATATATATTTATAAATTTAAAGGACTTAAATAAATTTATTACCATATCTAAGATTGAGTTGTGATTCACCAAATGAGTATTCTTTTCTAAAGTAATCAGAAATTGCAGTATCGTAATCACATGTATGAGTAAAAGCCTTCAAAGCCAACTTTTGCCTAAAAACAAAAACATTATTATTAACCAAGTCACTTATTATATATCACTTATCATTTACCTGGTTTGCAAAGTAGTGTCTCTCGTTGCTGAGTTTCTCATTTCCTGCAAAACCTTTTCATAGTCTTTAGGATCACAAATGACGGTGACTCTGGAGTGGTTTTTGGCAGCAGCTCTCAGTAAAGTGACTCCACCGATATCAATGTTTTCAATAGCATCGGCTTGTGTGCATCCAGGCTTGGAAATGGTTTGGACGAATGGGTAGAGATTGCAGACAACCACTCTTATCATGTCGTAGTTTTGCTTTTTCATGTCGGATTGATCGGAATCAGTCAACCTGGGAAAAAGATAATAAGATATATATATATATATATATATATATATATATATATTTATCTATTTATTATTACCTGGACAGTATGCCAGCATGTACAGCTGGATGCAAAGTCTTAACACGTCCCCCCAACATCTCAGGAGCTCCTGTGATGTCCGATACATCTTTAACAGTTAAACCAGCCTGTCTTAAACTTGTTGCAGTGCCTCCTGAGGCGACTAAGGTTAAACCAAATTCATTTAAAGCTTTTCCTAGCTCCAGAAGACCTGTCTTGTCCGATACGGAGAGCAGAGCTAGGGAAAAGAAATATATGTGTTAATATATATATATATATATATATATATATATATGTATATATATATATATATATATATATATATATATATAATGGGCAAGAGTTCTTGAAACAGTTGAAAGCTACATGAGACCTAGCACATTTGACACACATTAAACATTTGTGTATTTCTATTAAATGTTTACACAAATTTCATTGCAAGATTTTCTATACCCAAAGTAATCTTCCTTTAATCTTGTCAAATAATTGTGTATTATCTATTTCTATTTCAATTTACCTAAACTGCCACTATTAGCCATTTTTGCCAAAACTGCACAGCAATCTGCAAATTAACAAAAACTGTTAAATAAAATACCAAATCACTATTCAATAATTTATATCTGTTGTATAACTAAAAGATTAAAACATTATTTTATCATTTATATCAAGAAATTGGATCAAAATAAGTTTATTTGCATTAAGAAATCCAATATGAAAGGTCACAGGTTAAGGGTTACTAACAAGATAAGAAGTTGAAAATAAAATAAACACATTGATCGATAATATTATAAATAAATTATATATGTGTGATTAATTAAAACTGGTTCATTACAGTAATTTGCATATTTTTTTACAATTTAATTTGTTGTTCATTCTTATGCACAAGGCCACTACCCAATGGTACACATAACCTCAAAATTTTGTGTAAAATGTTTTTTTTAAGTATAAACAATTAATAAAGATCAATAACTTTAAATTAATATTATACATATATGAATGTATTAACAAAAATAAGCATAATACAATTTAATTTGTTATTCATTCTACTTGCACAAGAACAAATTGTATACATAACCTCAAAAAATAGTTTTGTACAAAATATTGTAAAACAGAATAAATGCTTATAAAAGTGAATAAATATATACGTATGAATATAAATATATTATTTAAACTTAATTATTTTATATTATGTACCTCTAGATGTCCACAACAAGTCACAAATTGAACTAACGACCACTTGTTGTTATATAATCAACAATGGAATTCATAAACAAGTTAACCAGTAGCGCCGGAAGCGCCCAAAACACATTGGCGCCGAAATAAATTTTGTACCAGAAAAAATATTTAAATGTAATAAAATGTTGAAATATTTATATAAATAGGCGTAAGTGGCATTTTGCCTTATAAATAATAAGATATGAGATTTAGATAGGTCAAATTTTTAACAGTTTTTAATTCAATAAATAGAAAATTCGGGACATTTTTTTGGTTTTTGTTAAATAACTCAAAAACTTCATATGGAACCACCCCTTTTTAGTTAGACAGGGTAAAACTAGATAAAATTTACAACATTTCCTAGGTAACACTTTTATACACTCAGATATAAAAGTTTTGAATAAAACGACTTTGATAAATGTATATATCAATTTATACATGATTATATAATATGTACTAGCTGTCTCAGTTTGTATGGGAATTGGATATATAAATGTATATATTGATTTATACATGGTTATACATATACTATCTGTGTTAGTTTGTATGGGAATTGGATATATAAATGTATATATTGATTTATACATGATTATATATGGCCTAACTGCCTTAGTTTGTATGGGAATTGGATATATAAATGTATATATTGATTTATACAAGATTATATATGGCCTAACTGGCTTAGTTTGTATGGAAATTGAATATATAAATGTATATATTAATTTATACATGATTATACATATACTATCTGTGTTAGTTTGTATGGGAATTAGATATATAAATGTATATATTGATTTATACATGATTATACATATACTATCTGTGTTAGTTTGTATGGGAATTGGATATATAAATGTATATATTGATTTATACATGATTGTATATGACCTAACAGCCTTAGTTTGTATGGGAATTGGATATATGAATGTATATATCGATTTATACATGATTATATATGACTTAACAGCCTTAGATTGTATGGGAATTGGATATATAAATGTGTATATTGATTTATACATGATTATACATATACTATCTGTGTTAGTTTGTATGGGAATTGGATATATAAATGTATATATTGATTAATACATTATTAGATATATACTAGCTGTCCCAGTTTGTATGGGAATTGGATATATAAATGTATATATTGATTTATACATAATTATATATGGATTAGCTGCCTTGGTTTCTATCACTCAAAAATTTCATATGGAACTACCCTTTTTCAGTTAGATAGAGTGAAACTAGATAAAATTTACAACATTTCCCAAAGAACACTTTCATACACTCCGATATAAAAGTTTTGAATAAAACGACTTTGAATTCGATATTTCATTAGACAATAATTTGTCATGTGATTTAATTTTATTTAACTAGTTCTTATAAAAAAAAAAATGATAAAAATTATCTTATTTAACAAAAAACAGATTTGTTTTCTAATAAAATTGTATGTAATTCAAATAATTCAATAATACAATTTGTATTAATTTCTATTACATGTTTCTAGAATAACATTTGTAAAATTCGATTTATGTATTAACAAAATTAAATGGTTAGTATTAATCATGATAGTTACATAAATACTGTTGTAATTACTGTATTTTTTGTACTGGTCGATAGATAAACAGATGAATATTATTAAATAGAAAATACTTTCCTTGGATCAGAAAAAACTGCATTTCACAACGATATCAGAAAATTATTATCATGTCATTATATACATAAAAAAATTTACAAGTATAACAAAATAGTTTGATTATTGAGAGACCATTTCCATGCCTGGTAAATTAGTTATTTAGGCTGATTTAATTAATTAATAAGTATTTCGGTTATTTATTATGCCGCGGCCTGCACTTCCATGGGTTGCTCTTCGGTGGCTGCAGAGATGGCCTTCTTTTTCTTCTTCTTGGCTGATTTTGGATTGGCAGAAGAATTCAGAATGGACTAGAATATACAGAGATGATTATTTATTGAGTTTTGTTTATTATTTATTGTAATTGTTACCTTAATTTCCGTATCTTCAATAGAACATTCACTAACTAAGTTTTCAGTATCGAATGGTAACCCGGTGATACGGTGTGGTCCGTTGGGCATCAGCAATACTGTGAATTTAAAATGCGCTACTTGCTCACCTGGAAAAGGACAAATACACAAACTAAATTCATCTTCCAAAAAAAAAAAACAAATCAGCAAAAAAAATCAACAAAAATAAAACAGAATGAAAAAAAAATAATGAAATAAAATAAAGAAAGAAAAGAGCAACAAACAAAAAAATGAATAATAAAGTAATGACAAACATATGTTTATATTATTATTATTTATATAAAATATATTTTATATAAAATAACTAATATAAATGAAGAATTAAAAGTATTAAAAGAAAAAAAATAAAATAAAGAAAGAAATAAAATTAAGTAAGAATTCTTAAAAAAAAAGAAAAAAAAAATATAGCAAAAAAATTAAAAAAAATAAAATAAATTAAATAAAGAAATAAATCAACTAATTAATAAATGAAGAATTAAAAAATAAATAAATAAATAAATAAATAAAAAGACACAAAAATATAGAAAATAAAATAAATTAAAATAAAGAAAGAAATGTATATATAAAAAATAAATAAAAAATGAATGAAGTAATAATAGGTGAAATAAAAATAATAAATTGAATGAAAAAAAAATGAATGAAGAATTAAAAAATTAATAATAAAAGAAAAGACAATAAGGAAAGAAATGAAAAACAAAAAATAATAAAGCAATATACAGAAATAAAAAGTAAAATAAATAATTATATGAAAAATTAAAATAAAAAAAAATATGAAAAAACAAATAATGAAATAAAATAAAAAAGCAACAAACAAATGAATAAAGTAATGACAAAAATAAAATAAATTAAAATATATAAAAAAAAAAAAAAATATAAATGAAAAATTAAAGAATGAAATAAAATAAAGGAGAAATAAAATAAAAGATAAATAAAGATAAAAACAGAAATAAAAATTAAAATAAATGAAATAAATCAAACGAAGAAATAAATAAAGAAATAATTTTTATATGGTTGTTATTGTTAAAATACTTATTAATTAACTAACTTATAATTTAAAGACACTTAAATTGTGAAACAAAATATTTCTTTCATAAAAATACCTAAAAATTTGTAAAAGAAAATACTTATATTGTAAAAATACTTAAATAATAATAATGATAATAATAATAATAATATTATAAGACACTTAAATTTGTTAAAATATCATAAGATAACCTAAAATTTGTTAAATAAAATAATTATATTGTAAAAGTATTGTAAAGATTATTAAAATACTTATTAAATTTTTGAAAAAATACTTGCAACAAACAAACTAGTTTTATTTAAAAAAAATAAAATTAACTAAATATAAATAAGTTTATAGTAAATAAATTAAATAATAAATAAATAAGTAATAAAATAGCTAATAATTAATTAAATTAAATCTGCAAAACATTGACTTGAGCTTTATTATAATATTATTATACTGACAGCTTGTAAAATAAATAAATAAATAAAGAAAACTATTAATGAAGGAAATAAAAAAGCAAATAAAAAAAAAAATAATAATAATTAAAGATAGAAAGAAACAAAGAAAAATATAAATCAAGAAAGAATCGAACAAATAAGAATAAAGCAATAAAGACCAATCAAAAATAAAACAAATGAAATAAATAAAATTAAATGAAAAACTAAAAAAGAAAGAGAATAAATAAATGGGGAAGGAAACGTAAGTTAGCAAATTAGATAATAAAAAATTAATAAGTAAATAAGTATAAAAAAAAATTTAAAAAAAAGAACAAAGAAACAAAACAAACATATAAAACAAAAAAGTTTAATAATAATAAATATAAATAGAAAAATAAAGAAAAAAAAATAATATAAAAAATTGTGTATGAAACAAAAAAAATGAGAAAAAAAAATTAACAAAGTGAAAATTGAATAAAGAAACAAAAAAAAACTAAACATTGAACAAAAAAAATAAAGAAAATAAACAATTCAAATAAATGATTCTATTTCTACTTACCAGCTTTTTCATACAAAACCTGGAACGGTTCGATTAACTTGTGATTTGCACATTCGACAACACCCATTTTGGCTTTGGTCTCCTCCTCAAAACCGCGCAAGTTAAAAGGCATTGATCCGTATTTAGTCCTAACTTCGGAATAGAAGTTTCGAGAGGCCTTCAGTTTCAATTGATAGGTCACATCAGTTTTCTTATAAATACTTATTTTCGTGTCCATCTCGCGCCCCTAGAGTAAAAGAATAAAGGACAGTCATTAAATGAGGTAAATGAAATATGTAATTAAATAGTAAGTTATCTAGGAACTTACAACTCCTTCTCCGGTGCTGATAAGGACATCCATACCATAAACGTCATGGACTTCAAAGTTGAACTTCTCATGCTCCTTTCGTTGAGCATCGTTAGGATTTTGTATGATGGTTTTTTCACCATCAATTTTGAATTGTTTTAATTGGTGACTCAACATACCTTCGATAGGTTTGCATTTGTAGGCTTCAGCAATTTTTTGCACAGCATCTGTTACCATATAGGTCTGAAAATTGAATAAAATGAATAAATACATTGGATATATAAATGTATATATTGATTTATACATGATTATATATGGCCTAACTGCCTTAGTTTGTATGGGAATTGGATATATAAATGTATATATTAATATATACATGATTATATACATACTAACTGTACCAGTTTGTATGGGAATTGAATATATAAATGTATATATTGACTTATACATGATTATATATAGCCTAAATGCCTTAGTTTGTATGGAAATTGGATATATAAATGTATATATTGATATATACATGATTATATATGACCTAAGTGCCTTAGTTCGCCTGGGAATTGGATATATATAAATGTATATATCGATTTATACATGACTATATATGGCCTAACTGCCTTAGTTTGTATGGGAATTGGATATATAAATGTATATATTGATTTATACATGATTACATATGACCTAACTGCCTTAGTTTGTATGGGAATTGGATATATAAATGTATATATTGATTTATACATGATTACATATGACCTAACTGCCTTATATAATTAGTTTGTATGGGAATTGGATATATAAATGTATATATTGATTTAGACATGATTATATATGGCCTAACTGCCTTAGTTTGTATGGGAATTGGATATATATATGTATATATTGATTTATACATGATTATATATGGCCTAACTGCCTTAGTTTGTATGAAAAATGGATATATAAATGAATATATTGATTTATACATGATTATATATGGCCTAACTGCCTTAGTTTGTATGGGAATTGGATATATAAATGTATATATTGATTTATACATGATTATATATGGCCTAACTGCCTTAGTTTGTATGAAAAATGGATATATAAATGAATATATTGATTTATACATGATTATATATGGCCTAACTGCCTTAGTTTGTATGAAAAATGGATATATAAATGAATATATTGATTTATACATGATTATATATGGCCTAACTGCCTTAGTTTGTATGGGAATTGGATATATAAATGTATATATTGATTTATACATGATTATATATTGCCTAACTGCCTTAGTTTGTATGGGAATTCGATATATAAATGTATATATTGATTTATACATGATTATATATGGCCTAACTGCCTTAGTTTGTATGAAAAATGGATATATAAATGAATATATTGATTTATACATGATTATATATGGCCTAACTGCCTTAGTTTGTATGAAAAATGGATATATAAATGAATATATTGATTTATACATGATTATATATGGCCTAACTGCCTTAGTTTGTATGAAAAATGGATATATAAATGAATATTGATTTATACATGATTATATATGGCCTAACTGCCTTAGTTTGTATGAAAAATGGATATATAAATGAATATATTGATTTATACATGATTATATATGGCCTAACTGCCTTAGTTTGTATGGGAATTGGATATATAAATGTATATATTGATTTATACATGATTATATATGGCCTAACTGCCTTAGTTTGTATGAAAAATGGATATATAAATGAATATATTGATTTATACATGATTATATATGGCCTAACTGCCTTAGTTTGTATGAAAAATGGATATATAAATGAATATTGATTTATACATGATTATATATGGCCTAACTGCCTTAGTTTGTATGAAAAATGGATATATAAATGAATATATTGATTTATACATGATTATATATGGCCTAACTGCCTTAGTTTGTATGAAAAATGGATATATAAATGAATATATTGATTTATACATGATTATATATGGCCTAACTGCCTTAGTTTGTATGGGAATTGGATATATAAATGTATATATTGATTTATACATGATTATATATGGCCTAACTGCCTTAGTTTGTATGGGAATTGGATATATAAATGTATATATTGATTTATACATGATTATATATGGCCTAACTGCCTTAGTTTGTATGAAAAATGGATATATAAATGAATATATTGATTTATACATGATTATATATGGCCTAACTGCCTTAGTTTGTATGGGAATTGGATATATAAATGTATATATTGATTTATACATGATTATATATGGCCTAACTGCCTTAGTTTGTATGGGAATGGATATATAAATGTATATATTGATTTATACATGATTATATATGGCCTAACTGCCTTAGTTTGTATGAAAATGGATATATAAATGAATATATTGATTTATACATGATTATATATGGCCTAACTGCCTTAGTTTGTATGGGAATGGATATATAAATGTATATATTGATTTATACATGATTATATATGGCCTAACTGCCTTAGTTTGTATGAAAAATGGATATATAAATGAATATATTGATTTATACATGATTATATATGGCCTAACTGCCTTAGTTTGTATGAAAAATGGATATATAAATGAATATATTGATTTATACATGATTATATATGGCCTAACTGCCTTAGTTTGTATGGGAATTGGATATATAAATGTATATATTGATTTATACATGATTATATATTGCCTAACTGCCTTAGTTTGTATGGGAATTCGATATATAAATGTATATATTGATTTATACATGATTATATATGGCCTAACTGCCTTAGTTTGTATGAAAAATGGATATATAAATGAATATATTGATTTATACATGATTATATATGGCCTAACTGCCTTAGTTTGTATGGGAATTGGATATGTAAATGTATATATTGATATATACATGATTATATATGGCCTAACTGCCTTAGTTTGTATGGGAATAGGATATATAAATGTATATATCGATTTATACATGATTATATATGGGCTAACTGCCTTAGTTTGTATGGGAATTGGATATATAAATGTATATATTGATTTATACATGATTATATATGGCCTAAGTGCCTTAGTTTGTATGGGAATTGAATATATAAATGTATATATCAATTTATACATGATTATATATGGCCTGATTGCCTTCGTTTGTATGGTAATGGGATATATAAATGTATATATCAATTTATACATGATTATATATGACCTAACTGTCTTAGTTTGTATGGGAAATGGATATATAAATGCATATATTGATTTATACATGATTATATATGGCCTAACTGTCTTGGTTTGTATGGGAATTGGATATATAAATGTATACATCGATTTATACATAATTATATATGGCTGCCTTAGTTTGTATGGGAATTGGATATATAAATGTATATATTGATTTATACATGATTATATATATATATATACTAGCTGTCCCAGTTTCTATGGGAATTGGATATATAAATGTATATATTGATTTATACATGATTATATATGGCCTAACTGTCTTAGTTTGTATGGGAATTGGATATATAAATGTATATATTGATTTATACATGATTAGATATGGCCTAACTGCCTTAATTTGTATGGGAATTGGATATATAAATGTATATATTGATTTATACATGAATATATATGGCCTAACTGCCTTAGTTTGTATGGGAATTACATATATAAATGTATATATTGATTTATACATGATTATATATGGCCTAAATGCCTTAGTTTGTATGGGAATTTGATATATAAATGTATATATTGATTTATACATGATTTATATATGGCCTAACTGTCTTGGTTTGTATGGTAAATGGATATATAAATGTGTATATTGATTTATACATGATTATATATGACCTAACTGCCTCAGTTTGTAGGGGAATTGGATATATAAATGTATATATTGATTTATACATAATTATATATATACTAGCTGTCCTAGTTTGTATGGGAATTGGATATATAAATGTATATATTGATTTATACATGATTATATATGGCCTAAATGCCTTAGTTTGTATGGGAATTTGATATATAAATGTATATATTGATTTATACATGATTTATATATGGCCTAACTGTCTTGGTTTGTATGGTAAATGGATATATAAATGTGTATATTGATTTATACATGATTATATATGACCTAACTGCCTCAGTTTGTAGGGGAATTGGATATATAAATGTATATATTGATTTATACATAATTATATATATACTAGCTGTCCTAGTTTGTATGGGAATTGGATATATAAATGTATATATTGATTTATACATGATTAGATATGGCCTAACTGCCTTAGTTTGTATGGGAATTGGATATATAAATGTATATATTGGTTTATACATGATTATATATATATACTAGCTGTCTCAGTTTGTATGGGAATTGGATATATAAATGTATCTACTATATTTGTGTTGTATGGGAATTGGGTATATAAATGTATCTTGGATATATTATATATATACTAGCTGTCTCAGTTTTTATGGGAATGGGATATATAAATGTATATATTGATTTATACATGATTATATAAGGCCCAACTGCCTTAGTTTGTATGGGAATTGGATATATAAATGTATACATCGATTTATACATAATTATATATGGCTGCCTTAGTTTGTATGGGAATTGGATATATAAATGTATATATTGATTTATACAAACAAAAAAAAAGATGTATTAATTTGTTGCTTACTTCGTTATCAGGTTTTAAAAGCCTCAGGGCAGCTTGAGACGCATAGTGAGCTGCTAATAAGACATCAGCCTGACGTCCAGTAATTTTGCCCTCCGTCAAAACCTTTGTATGTGCAACAACAGCAATGAAACCATCAACATGGGCACCTAAATCTCTGCAAATGTAAAAAATACACACATCAATCTTTCATCAATTCAATTTTATCATCTCTCTACTTACACTTTGCACATGTCCCCTTCCTTCAGTACATAATCGGGTTCTGTATTGGTGGGTGAGAAGTGACAAATGCAGTTATTTACAGAAATACAAGTCGGAAAGGCTATGCCCTTCTTCAGCTCCTTCTCTTTTTTGAACACTTTGCTGGTTTCTTCTGTAAGAAGTTGATCTCCGTATTCGCATGTCTCTCTCACCGATGCACCGGGCACACATTTGTCTAGGACCTGTTTCAGAACACCTACAAGGATAATGGATAATAATAAATGTTAAATACATCCTTCAATATTTAATTCCAACAAGTGTTATTGAATTAGTATCTTTTTATTGATTAAATTATTATAAATTATGAATTTGGCAAATATATTAATAATTAAATAATTAAGAATACATTTTTGTATCAACATTTGTCACAATAGAAAATGTATTCTTTACATGATGCAGAATATAAATACAACAATAAATATTGTTTATTACTTAACAATAGATATTATTGTTCACAGTAAGTATAATTGATTAATTCAAGTTTAATGAACTTTATAATGAACTTATTCCATAATGATTGTTGACTCTAGAACATAGAACTCATTTTTTTGGGTTGTGGAGCCCTTCTACATTACCATAAACCCACCATTTATCCGATATCCTATAATTTATAAATTTCTAACAAGCTTATAAATTGAATAGAATTTAAAATGACAAAATAAAGTAAGCAATAAGTGAATGTAATTATCAATATTTCGTGACAATTGTACAAGGTTTTTGGTTATATTTTTGAGCTAATGATGTCTAGTCTACATTTTTTTTGTAGAGAGATCGGTAATGCTCTCTACTAGGTATTACAATGTGTAGCAGTCTTGAAAAGGCCAAAAAATATTTAACAAACCTTTCAAAAGCCAGCATATACTTGAAAAGTGTGCAACTTACAATATTTTATAAAAGACATACAATTTTTT